GTATTGTTGTGTTGTTGTTTATTGTTGTGTTATGTTGTGTATTGTTGTGATGTTGTGTGTTGTTGTTTATTGTTGTTGTGTGTTGTGTATTGTTGTGTGATGTTGTGTATTGTTGTTGTGTGTTGTTGTTTGTTGTTGTTGTGTGTTGTGTGATGTTGTTGTTTGTTGTTGTTTATTGTTGTGTGTTGTATTGTTGTGTTGTTGTGTGTTGTTGTGATGTTGTGTGTTGTGTGTTGTGTATTGTGTTGTGTATTGTTGTGTGTTGTGTGTTGTTTATTATTGTGATGTTGTGTGTTGTGTATTATTGTGATGTTGTGTGTTGTATTGTTATGATGTTGTGTGTTGTTGTGTGTTGTTATGATGTTTTGTGTATTGTTGTGTGATGTTGTGTTTATTGTTGTGTGTTGTTGTGTATTGTTGTGTTGTTGTGTTGTGTATTGTTGTTGTGTGTTATTGTTTGTTGTTGTTGTATGTTGTGTATTTTGTTGTGATGTTGTGTGTTGTGTATTGTTGTGTTGTTGTGATGTTGTGTGTTGTGTATTATTGTGATGTTGTGTGTTATGTATTGTTGTGATGTTGTGTGTTGTGTATTGTTGTGGTGTTGTGTATTATTGTGATGTTGTGTGTTATGTATTGTTGTGATGTTGTGTGTTGTGTATTATTGTGGTGTTGTGTATTTGTGTGTTGTGTGTTGTTGTGTGTTGTGGTGTTGTGTATTATTGTGATGTTGTGTATTGTTATGATGTTGTGTGTTGTTATGATGTTTTGTGTATTGTTGTGTGTTGTTGTGATGTTGTGTTTATTGTTGTGTGTTGTTTATTGTTGTGTTGTTGTGTATTATTGTGATGTTGTGTGTTGTTGTGTGTTGTGGTGTTGTGTATTATTGTGGTGTTGTGTGTTGTGTGTTGTGGTGTTGTGTATTATTGTGATGTTGTGTATTGTATTGTTATGATGTTGTGTGTTGTTATGATGTTTTGTGTATTGTTGTGTTTATTGTTGTGTATTGTTGTGATGTGGTGTTGTGTATTGTTGTGTGATGTTGTGTGTTGTGTATTGTTATGTTTTGTGTTGTTGTGATGTTGTGTGTTGTTGTGATGTTGTGTGTTGTGTATTATTGTGGTGTTGTGTATTGTTGTGATGTTGTGTGTTGTTGTTGTGTATTGTTGTGTTGTTTAGTGTTGTGTATTATTGTGGTGTTGTGTATTGTTGTGATGTTGTGTGTTGTGTTGTGTACTGTTGTGATGTTGTGATGTTGTGATGTTGTGTGTTGTGTATTATTGTGGTGTTGTGTATTATTGTGATGTTGTGTATTGTATTGTTATGATGTTTTGTGTATTGTTGTGTGTTGTTGTGGTGTTGTTGTGTATTGTTGTGTGTTGTTGTTGTGTATTATTGTGATGTTGTGTTTATTGTTGTGTGTTGTTGTGGTGATGTTGTTGTGTGTTGTTGTTTATTGTTGTGTGTTGTTGTGGTGATGTTGTTTATTGTTGTGTGTTGTTGTGGTGATGTTGTTTATTGTTGTGTATTGTTGTGATGTTATGTATTGTTGTGTGTTGTTGTTTGTTGTTGTGTATTGTTGTTTGTTGTTGTGTATTGTTGTTTGTCGTTGTTTATTGTTGTGTGTTGTTGTGGTGATGTTGTTTATTGTTGTGTATTGTTGTGATGTTATGTATTGTTGTGTGTTGTTGTTTGTTGTTGTGTATTGTTGTTTGTTGTTGTGTATTGTTGTTTGTCGTTGTTTATTGTTGTGTTGTTGTTGTGTGTTGTTGTTTATTGTTGTGTTGTTGTGTATTGTTGTTTGTCGTTGTGTATTGTTGTGTGTTGTGTGATGTTGTGTGTGTTGTTGTGTTGTTGTGTGTTGTGTATTATTGTGATGTTGTGTGTTGTTTATTGTTGTGTTGTTGTGTATTGTTATGATGTTGTGTGTTGTTGTGTGATGTGTTGTGTTGTTGTGGTGATGTTGTTTATTGTTGTGTATTGTTGTGTGTTGTTGTTTATTGTTGTGTTGTTGTGTATTGTTGTTTGTCGTTGTTTATTGTTGTGTGTTGTTGTTGTGTGATGTTGTGTGTGTTGTTGTGTTGTTGTGTGTTGTGTATTATTGTGATGTTGTGTGTTGGTTATTGTTGTGTTGTTGTGTATTGTTATGATGTTGTGTGTTGTTGTGTGATGTGTTGTGTTGTTGTGGTGATGTTGTTTGTTTATTGTTGTGTGTTGTTGTGTGTTGTTGTGGTGATGTTGTTTATTGTTGTGTATTGTTGTGATGTTGTGTGTTGTTGTTTATTGTTGTGTTGTTGTGTATTGTTGTTTGTCGTTGTTTATTGTTGTGTTGTTGTTGTGATGTTGTGTGTTGTTGTGTTTCCAGCAGCAGTGACAGATGGAGACCTAGCTGAGCACAAACTAAAACTGATCAAACACAGTGAGGGATGTTTTTATGCTCATGCTAAGCTAGGCTAACATATTCACCATGTTTCTAAGCTTTAAGCTCAGACAAACATGTTTAACCTGCTACTAGTCTTTATGCTAAGCTAGGCTAACAGATTCAGCCTGCTTCCAGTCTTTATGCTAAGCTAGGCTAACAGATTAAGCCTGCTTCTAGTCTTTACGCGTAGCTAGGCTAAGAAATTCCCTCTGATTCTAGTGTTTATGCTAAGCTAGGCTAAATGATTGTATTCTTTGTTCATACTGTAGATAGACTAACAGATTCAGCCTGCTTCAAGTCTTTATGCTAAACTAGGCTAACAGATTGAGCCTGCTTCTAGTCTTTATGCTAAGCTAGGCTAACAGATTGAGCCTGCTTCTAGTCTTTACGCTAAGCTAGGCTAACAGATTAAGCCTGCTTCTAGTCTTTACGCTAAACTAGGCTAACAGATTCAGCCTGCTTCCAGTCTTTATGCTAAGCTAGGCTAACAGATTAAGCCTGCTTCCAGTCTTTATGCTAAGCTAGGCTAACAGATTAAGCCTGCTTCTACTCTTTATGCTAAGCTAGGCTAACACATTAAGCCTGCTTCCAGTCTTTATGCTAAGCTAGGCTAACAGCACACAGGCAACACCTGTGCTCAGTTTGTTTCAGGAGTAAATCAACACTAACGTGTGTTTTCTGACAGATCATGTCTGTCTCTCAGATCACCCCCACGCTGTTCCTGGGAGGGGCCGACGCCCCACTCAACGCCTCGCTGATGTCACAGAAAGGCATCACGCTGATCGTCAACGCCACCATTAACCACGCCTGCCCCGCATACCCAGGGGTGGAGTTTGTGCGGGTTCCCGTGTCGGACCTGCCCAGCGCTCGCCTTGGAGACCACTTTGACCGGGTGGCTGAGCGTATCCATGGAAACCATGCAGGTGGCACTCTGGTGCACTGTGCCGCAGGCATGAGCCGCTCCCCGGCGCTGGTGATGGCATACTTGATGCGTTTCAGAGCAGTGACTCTGTGCCAGGCGCACCGCTGGGTTCAGGAGAGTCGGCCGTACGTGCGTCTGAACGCTGGCTTCTGGGAGCAGCTGCTGCGGTACGAGAGGAAGCTGTACGGGAAAAATACTGTCAGGGTTGCTGCGGTCGAGGAAACGCCACCACCGCCACTCACACCGAGGACGCAGAGGTGGACGCGGGCGATGCCGCCGCAGCAGACAAACTGGTTAACGCAGGTTCCAAGGTCACCTGTGATGAGCCGGGCGTCTCTGATTTCACGCTCACAGTTGCTGACTCCAACAAACCAACGAAGAAGAGGAACCAAATCCAGCAGCTTCAAAGTCTGAGCAATTAAGACTACATTACCCACAATCCATCTGGACCACTGACTGACTACACTCTGACAGTTCATGTTGTCAACATTTTGTTTAAGTGACCATATTTGGACAAGTGGGTGGAGTCGTTTGCCTTGAAGTGATTTCCCTCGCCCCTCTGCGGCTCCACCCACTTGTCCATATATGGTCACTTCTAGTTATAAAAAATAAAGATGGCGATGATGTTCATGTAGTAAATTATGGTCTGATTTAAAGTCCAAAAGACCATAAACCAGAGGGGTTTAGGGAGGGGCTACCTGTGATTGTCACCATGGTGACCTGTCAATCAGAATAAAGTTGTTGCTATGTGTCACCATCCTCTCGTCCAAATATGGTCAGAAGATGTGAAACAGAATCAGCCTATCACCTGCAGTCTCTGTTTGATTGAATGATGAACACTGAGGAGCCGCTCCACCAGGAAGTTAGCGTGATGAAAGTGAAGAACTTTTATCTCTTCTTTTACCTCTCTCTTAAATCTTCCACAACTATATCAGGTTCTCAACAAGCTGCATCCAAAGCACTCTTTGTATCAGACGTAAATCTAGCTGATGTGTGGAGGGTACATAACTCATCTGCTAAAGACTATACCTTCTTTTCTACAAGACATGAAACCTTCTCTTCAATAGATTACATCCTTCTATCCTCTGGTTTGCTGCCTTCGGTACAATTAATAGAATTTTTGCCCAGACATTTATCAGCTCACAATCCATCCATTTCCACTTTTAATTATGGGAATATAAAAAATAGGGCTACTAGATGGAGGTTCAACTCATTCACAGGAATGTATTACACAATTGAGAACAGAATTGGCTGAATTTATAGCTTCGAACAAAAATAGTGTCACAGATGTGAAAGTGGTTTGGGCCTCCATCGAGGGCTTCATACGAAACAACGGTATATGGTTTAGTTCACACTTACATAAAAACCATTTTGAAATTGTATTTCTGAAAAAGATTAACAGTCACCAAAATTAGAATATAATATAATCAAAAATATATTTTAATGGAGAATAAAAAAAGAAAAAGTACAAGTCCCTCATTATTTTATAAAAACAATTTGATTCTTTCTGTAGAAGTTTTTTTATCTTCATAAATGAGTGAATAACTTAAAATACTAACTAAATAAAAACTAAACAAGTTTAAGAGATAAAACACTTTAAAGGTTTTAAATCCAGATTAAACCTCTGACTCTTTGTTGTTGTTTTTCTATTTATTTGTATTTTTAGTTTAGTTCATTTGTTTAAATCATGCTTAGTCTGAAAAGTTTCTTTTGTTACATTCAGCTCTGCAGGGGCTGCATGCCCAGTTCTCAAAAGTCCCTGGACCTTTACAAAGTACATAACCCCTAGTAGGGTTTTTTTCAGGGTAGATCTTCTACCCCAGAACTACATTTAGACCCTGTAGATCTGGTGGAAACGGGGCTTTAGTGTTTTATAGATATTTGTGTGGACTTGGGACACAGAGCTTAAAAACGATCAAATAAAGCCCCCCTTCAAACAGCTCAAACACAGGAAACTGGTGAGATAGGTGAGCTTCAGTTTGTTTATGTATGCTATCAAACCCAACAGCTTGATACACATTTTCAGTGTAACAGACAGTTTGACTGGATGAATGAATATTTGATTTTCAGGTTTGGTCATTCATATGAATCCCTCGTGGGAACTTTTCAGTCACATTAACTGAGAATTGAGTAAATATTCAGATATCCAGCCAACGTCAGACAGCACAGTACAGTAAGAACATGAGGTAAACATGAACCAGCCCAAATAATAACATTCAGGAGGTCAGATAGGAGCTCCATACGGAGTAAAAAGTCTAAACTAACCAACACAGCTGCCCCTAAACACAAGATGCTATACACAAAATCAAGTTCCTCTTAGTATGTCACTTCAAAACAGTTTACATTTGATCCTCTTCATATTGTTATTCTTCCCCCCCCACACACACACACACACACACACACACACAAATCACCATCAACATCATCACCATGACAACGCAGTCACACAACCCTAAGAGAATCAGAGACGAAGATTCAGAACATCATCTTCATCATGTATTAGTGTTCCACAGTCACAGAGATCTTCTCTGGTAAAATCTTTAGTTCATCCACAGTGGTAATGTATGGAAACATCCTCTCAGTGAAAGTGTGTGTGAAGGTGTGTATGTGTGTGTTAGTATCAGGATCAGAGAACGACAGCTCTCCTCTGTTACAGTCCAGATTCACTCTGATCCTCTGAGGCTTCTTCTTCACTGAGAGATCAGTGACTGGATGTGATGAGGAGCATGCTCCGTATTCACCACCATAGAACCCTACAAACCAAAATCCAGACAGTATGACTCCCTTCCTCTGTCCAGACTCTGCTAACACACCCAGGTCCCAGCATGTATTGTCTCCAACCTGGACGTCCCAGCTGTGAGTCCCTGAGTTAAAGCCCTCAGAGCCCAGGACAGACCAGTGATGATCAAACCTCTCTGGATTATCAGGAAGCTGCTGTCTCTCTCCTGGTCTCACACAGGTCAGATCTTCAGACAGGATGAGTTCTGGACGAGCAGTGTTTGGGTCCAGAATGACCGGACTGTAGGAGACCATGTCCTTCATCTTGTTCCAGATGTTGAAGCTCAGGTTGCCCAGGTGTTTGGCCTGGTCTATCAGAGCTCCTGAGGGCAGCTGTGGATCCTCCAGCAGGGGGCGCTGCTGGACTCTTTCCACTGCAGCCTTGTAGTTTTTCAGGAATGAGACGTCTTCAGCTCTCAGCTCGTCCTCTGTGTCTCTGACTGTGTGTGAAAGAGCTGCTATCTCTCTGCTCAGAGCCTCCATCTCCTCCTTCATCCTCTGACTCTTCTGCTCCTCTTCCTCCCTCAGTGCACACAGCCTGGCCTCCTCTTCCTCTTCTAGAAACTGCTCCTTAATCTGCCTCTCTGTGTGTCGGGCCTGGACCTGAATGTGTTCTGCTGTTTGATCAAACTTCACTTTAACTTCTTTAAAAACATTTAACTTCTTCTTTACCGGCTCCAGAGTTTCCTGAAGTTTCTTCTTGTGTTGTCCAGCAGCTTCATCGATGGGTCTGAATCTGTGCTCAGAGTGTTTTTCTGAATCTCTGCAGATGAGACACACCGGCTCCTGATGGTCCAGACAGAAGAGTTTGAGTTTCTCAGAGTGCAGACTGCAGAGATCCTCTGAAGCGCTCTGATCTCTCTCCTGCACAAAACTCTCACTCAGGTTCTTTAAAGTAAAGTTAGGAGGTATATCATTTAAATGTCTCCTCTTACAGAGTGGACACTCCTGGTTCTCCTTCCAGCAGTCCTTCACACACTCTCTACAGAAGCTGTGGCTGCAGGACAGCATCACTGGATCTTTAAAGATGTCGAGGCAGACCGGACAGCTCAGATCTTCCTCTAACTTGGACGCCATTTTATCTCAGAGTCAAAACATGCAGAAGAAGAAAAGAGGAAGCCACTCCTCGTCCCTCAGAGTTACTTTCACTTTGATTGTTTTTCTTTGAAACTCTCGTTCAGTTTGTGGATTCAGCAACAGGTTGAAGTGTTTGTATTCCCAGTATTCCAGTATAACAAGTACTCCCAGTATCCCCTCCTCCTCCTCCTGTCCTCTCTCAGTGGAAGTCGTGCTGGTTTGTGTCTGCAGGTCGGTCCGTCTGTCAGCGTGTGTGTCTCTTCAGAGTGAGGCAGAATAACAGCCTGTTTCCTGGTTTGTCTCAGGTGAGACAGGTGAGGGGGCGGAGCTTCTTCAGAGCAGGAATGCAGAAAACAGTGTCATTTCTCTTCCTGCAGCTTGAAGTGAAATCTCTAAGATCTTGTTGTCATTAGTTCCACTACATCGCTGTCTGGAGCTCTTTCTGCATGAAGAGCTCAGTCAGGTCTTCAGTCTGTATGTCAAAGTTTGAGTGAAACCAAAGCAACCAAAACAAGGAGAACAGGATTCAAAGAGACGTGAACAGTCTTCTTATTTAATGAGGGAGGAAATCCAGTGAGACCAAGTTAGGAACCATAAGTTTAATACCTGCAGTGACTTGATTTTTATCAATCAAAAAGCCTATGATCCTCTGAGGGGCTGACAGCCTCCCATACTTTCTTTATTGACGCGTCGTCCTCCGTGTGGCGTGCCAATAACTCGGTCAACAACAGCCGTGCAATCCCGCTCAAACGGGTTTAATCTGACCTCGTCTGTTAACGCAAAGCCTCCGTTCATCTACAAACATTTATCTGCTATAACTTGAATGCAAACACAACAGGCTCAATGTTCAGTCCACGCTACGGCGGTCAAAAAACGGAGTGCCTCCATGGTAGGCTGCTCGTCTCCCTTTGATTTCACCTGAACGCCCCCTACTGGAACGACAAGGAACTACAACAGAGAACACACATTTTGAACAAACTACAATGTCTTTAACAATACTAGGGCCGACCGATATGAGTCTTTAGGGCTGATACCGATATATCGGCCGATATCTGTCTTAGATCTGTAGAGATAGATTTAGATATTTATTGTGTTGATCTCTCAGTTATCAAGACTTAGACTTAGACTTTCTTTATTGTCATTCAAACTTGTACTTTACAGAGCAGATAAGAACGAAATTTCGTTGCATTTGGCTCGTTGTAGTGCAGGATAAAAACAGCAGCAAGTATTTACATATAAAAATAAAAATAAGGTGCAGATATAAATAGATATAAAAAGAAAAACTATGAGTAAAAATACTATACAGATAAATATATTACACGTTATATTGTGTTTTAGAGTCCAGTGAGGTAGTCCTGTGTGGGGGTTTGAGGGGGGAATGGAGGGATTATTTTTTCCTGTTCAAAAGTTTTTATGGCCTGTGGGAAGAAGCTGTTACAGAACCTGGAAGTTCTGCTTCGGAGGCTGCAGAACCTCTTTCCAGAGTCCAGCAGCGAAAACAGTCCTTGGTGGGGGTGGGAGGTGTCTCTGCTGATTTTCTGAGCCCTGGTCAGACAGCGGATCTTTGCGATCTCCTGGATGGGAGGAAGTGGAGTCTTAATGATCTTTTCCGCCGTCCTCACCACTCTCTGCAGGGACTTCCAGTCGGAGGCACTGCAGGCTCCGGACCAGACAGAGATGCAGTTTGTTATGATGCTCTCTATAGTGCCTCTGTAGAAGGTGGTGAGAATAGGAGGAGGGAGGTGTGCTCTCTTCATCCGACGCAGAAAGTGCATGCGCTGCTGCGGCTCAGGTGTGAAGGGACCAGGTCAGAGTGTCTGTTATCTGCACCCCCAGGAACTTTGTGCTGCTAACTCTCTCCACTGCTGTGCCATTGATGAGGAGTGGTGTGTGGCTGGGCTGGCGCCTCCTGAAGTCGACGATGACCTCTTTGGTTTTATCGACGTTCAGGGTCAGGTTGTTGGTTCTGCACCAGTCAACCAGATGTTTCACCTCCTCTCTGTAGTCCATGTCGTTGTTGTCACGGATGAGGCCCACTACTGTTGTGTCGTCTGCAAACTTCACGATGTGGTTAGTAGTGGACCTGGCGCAGCAGTCATGGGTCATCAGGGTGAACAGCAGCGGACTCAGGACGCAGCCCTGAGGGGAGCCGGTGCTCAGGGAGATGACACTGGAGGTGTTGTTGCCCACCCGCACAGACTGGGGTCTGTTTGTGAGGAAGTCAAGTAGCCAGTTACATAGGGGGGTGCTGAAACCAAGGGGGGCCAGTTTGCTCACCAGATGCTGCGGGATGATTGTATTGAACGCTGAGCTGAAGTCCAGAAACAACATCCACACATGTGTGTCCTTCTCTTCCAGATGTTGTAAACCCAGGTGGAGTGCAGAGGAGATGGCATCCTCTGTGGAGCGGTTTGGGCGGTAAGCAAACTGGTACGGGTCGAATGTGGGGGGAAGTCTGGAGACAATGTGGTCCTTTACCAGCCTCTCAAAGCACTTCATCATGATGGGGGTTAGTGCTACAGGGTGGTAATCATTGAGCGAGGAGATTGTGGATTTTTTAGGCACTGGTATAATTGTAGCAGTCTTTAAACATGAAGGTACCACAGCCTGGATCAGCGAGGTGTTGAAGATGTCTGTGAGAACCCCAGTCAGCTGGTCAGCACATTCCTTCAGCACCCGTCCCGGTATGTCGTCAGGGCCCGCTGCTTTCCGGGTGTTCACTCTCCTCAGGGTTCTCCGGACATCAGCTGCGTCCAGGCTGATTGGCTGCTCATCGGAGTGAGGAATAGATTTCCTCGCTGGAGTGGTGTTGAGTGCCTCAAACCTCGCAAAGTAGTTGTTGAGGTCGTTGAGGTCGTTGATGTTGTTGTCACAGGGGGGAGGAGTAGCTTTATAGTCTGTGATGACTTGGATGCCCTGCCACATTCGTCTGGTGTTCGTGGGGTCCTCGAAGAAGTCCTGCACTTTCTGACTGTGAGCACGCTTTGCAACCTTTATGGCACGGTTCAGGTTGGCTCTGGCTGTTTTTAGTGCCACCATGTCGCCAGATTTAAAAGCGTTGTTCCGGGCTTTCAGCTTTGCACGTACCTCACTAGTCATCCAGGGTTTCTCGTTGGCCCGTGTGGAGATGTTCTTGATCACACTAACATCCTCCATGCACTTCTGAATGTATGCAGACACAGACTCGGCATACTCCTCCACACACGTCTGGTGATTGTCCGTAGCAGCCGCCTTGAACATGTCCCAGTCCGTGCATTCAAAGCAGTCCTGTAATGCTTCCATAGCTCCCTCAGGCCAGGCCCTCACCTGCTTCACTGTGGGTTTTTTCTTGATCAGCAGGGGCTTGTATGCTGGAATTAGCATCACAGAGAGATGGTCTGAGGTGCCAAGGTGGGGGCGGGGTGCAGCCTTGAATGCCTTCTTGATGTTGCTGTAGACCAGGTCCAGCGTGCTCCCACCCCTGGTTGCAAAATCCACATATTAATGGAAATGAGGAAAAACAGTTTTCATATTGGCCTGATTAAAGTCCCCTGCCACAATGAAAACTCCCTCTGGATGTGTAGATTGCAGTTCACTGATGGAGCGGTATAAAACATTCAGGGCTTCTCTGGTGTTTGCACTGGGAGGAATGTACACTGCTGTGAAGATCATAACAGTGAATTCCCGGGGTAAATAAAAAGGCCTGCATTTTATAGTCAGTAGTTCTACATCAGGAGAGCAGTGACTTGAGACTATCTCACCGTTGTTGCACCAGTTGTTGTTGGTGTATATGCAAACACCGCCGCCTCGGGATCAAACACTTGAGGAAAAGATTTATAATGAAGACGAGATGGTCACTCAGCTGGAAAGAAACTGAGCATGTACGTACATCACCGCTCCACACTCTGCAGAGTGATGGTGCTTGTTGTAATCCAAATAGCGCCCCCTGCTGGTGACAGAACTGCTAGTGTAAGACAATGAAACTCAAATTAAATGATGTTAGACTGGTGAATAAATCTTGTAATATAAAAAATTAGCCGATAGAGATAGTCACTGGATCTGCTGATATCGGCTGATATTATCTGCTGGCCGATTAATCGGTCGGGCTCTAAACATTCAAACATACAACATTCAAAATAAAAACAAAACAGAAACTGTTCTTAAATGCTAAATAATGGAATTTCAATCATATGGTTAGAAAACAGATTCATTTCAATTAACGATTGAAATTCAGCAATCAATGAGAGTTAAAAACTGTAATGGTTTGACAGGCCGAGGTACTTTAAACATGTTTATATTATATACATGTTTGTTTAAAGGTCAAACATTATTTAAAATCCTCTTCTCCATGTTCCTCTGACTCTAACATGTGTCTCTAGTCCGTCTTCAAACCCCCCAATGATGAGAAAAGTCCATCCTCTCCGTCTTCTGCCTGCTCCACTTTTCAGAAAATGTGTGCTCTAACAGGCCGTTTGGAGATGTTCCCTTCATGACATCACAAAGGGCAGTAGCCCCTCCCCCAGGTGGGTGACACTCCCACAGCTAGGTGTTTGTTCTGCCCTCTGAGTCTGCCTTCTCACCGTAAACAATAGGACATGGAGCGAGAAAGACCGAGCACACCCAAGCCCTTCCAGAGAGGGGGCGTGGTCAGACACAGCTCATTTACATATTTAAAGGTACAGACACAGGAACAGCCTGTTCTGAGCAGGGCTGAAATAGAGGGGTTTATAGACATGATCAAATACAGGATCAGAGTGGATTTAGAACAAGAAACTTCACACACATGTTTTGAGGAGCTCTGACACTTATTTACACTGAAGAAGAAGAGGAGGAGGATATGTGACCTTTAAAGTCAGGCTCATGTTCTCTGCCACGTCTGGATGTGTCTCTAATCAGGTAAAAGACAGGTGACGATGGGTCAAACGAGTGTTCAGACAAACTGGGATCCTCAGAGGGAAATGGTTGTGTTTTTAAGATATATTCATTTGTTTTAAAGCGGGAAATAGAGTAAGATGAGATCA